ACAGCACCACAACTGCTCAGCAAAACCCTCCTCCAGCAACAAAGCCTGACACTACTTCTGCTTTGCGAGTCTCCCTCAGTATCTGGCTACAAGGTGGTAGCCAGTGAGAGAGGACACGTATGGACACTATGGCACATGTCAGTAAACAGACATCTATCCCCTCCATCATCCCCACTCTGCTTGTCCTGATCTGTCAGCTCCCACCTCAGACTGAAGGGGTCTAAGGGGGGTACCTCGAAGATGGATACTTCTGGAGCAGGGGGAACAGATTATGAACCAGGGCGCCAAATCCACTTGGCACACATTCCTTTTGCAGTCACAACCCTCCCTCTGGTGCTACTAGAGCCCTGCATTTACAGGGAGCAGTTCAGCAGGTAAGAGCCAAGCTCCTGGCACCCACGTGGGATAGGAAGCAGAAGCTGCCGGCAACAAGACCAAGTAGTTTCAATAGCAAAGAGCTGGGAAAGCAAATGCACCTTCAGCAGAGCTAATACTGAGTGTGGAGAGCCAGGCACGTGCCTGCCACACACACGGCAGTGCTGCCCAGTGGGATCCGCCACAGCACGGCCACCAGCATCACCAGGAAAGCAGACCTCCCATGCGCACATGGAAAGAGCCTACTCTCCAGGGTGGAGCCCACGTCCAACGGCTGCAACCCAGCCACTAGCAGTTATTTACACAGCACCGCGCATGGGACCTGCAAGACCTGCAGCGTGGTGGGACCGATCACCAGGTCTGCTGCCTTCTCCAGGTGGGGTCAGGGGAACTTGGGTGAGGCTGGGGGAAAGGCAGATCAGAAACCACAAGCAGTTGCCCCCCTCACCCCAAAGCAGTTGCAGCACCCTCTCCTTCAGGACCCAGCTGCATCTCTCCCTTGGAGTGTTTCCATTAACTCAGGCCACCAGGGAACTGCACGTCCAGAAGTTTTTTCCAACTGCATCACATGGTTATTAAAAGATACGGCCTCTCCCTCTCAGCCTTTAGCATAGGCAGATCTGGGATATTACAGGAAAGACTGCACATTGCTAATGAATCAGGGAAGGGAGTTATCCAAGTAACAGCCTGGGGCTCTCTGGAAAAGGCA